CTTTGTCTTTCATTTTCGAGGACTGTATGTGATGTAAGGATCGCTATGAATTTGAGATTGTCTTGTGAAATAATTATAGGATGTATGTTTGAAGATCTCTGTTTGTTACTTTATCGTGGAGGAGGATTTATCCTTACTGAAGTTCTAGATACCACGAGGATCAGTATGTGATTTTAGACAGTCTTGTGAAATAATTATAATTAAAAACAGACAGATATTTGTTTTTCTTTATTTTGGAGGATCTATTGTCATTGAGGTTCTAGATACAAGGATGTGCTATGAAATTTTAGATGATCTTGTAAAATAATTATAAAGAATTTTCGGGAATTTTTATTTTTCATCTTGGAAGATTTGAGGTTCTAGATATCTAGAGATCTATTATAAGAAAATAAATACAAAGATCTGTTACAAGAAAGATTTACACTTATAAAAGTGTAAGGTTGATATTTGGTGAATCATCGTTTACGAGATCGAATTTATAATAACGAAGAAATGAAATCTCATCTAAAAATCTTTGGAATCATTTGCAAAGTACTTACTGCTTGACTGGTCAATAAAGAATCGGTGTCAACATTTGTACACTATATTCGCAAAAGTGTTACAATTGTGCCCTAGATTTCAGTTCACTCTCATTACCGCGCAGTTTCCACTTTAGAATATCAAATGTTAATTCATTCCTCTCCATTAAGTCTTTCTATAAACACCTCAGTATCGGCAAATGACGTAAAATTAAGACAATCAACCGCACTGTACAATCTCAGCGACACTTTCCTCCACTATCGTAGAGCATCGTTAAAAGGCGGATCGAGTTAAATCACTTCGAAATATCCCATCGTTTCGATTAATTCAGTTCCATCAGAAACTTGATTAAGTTGATGGCGTTATATCAATCTCTGTCAAATTGCAAAATCCGTGGAAACGAGATTTCGAATCGCTTTCGGATTGTTTGTCGCGAGTGATTGAGCTTCGAATGAAGCAGAGTGAACGGAGTGATCTGAGTGATTAGGCATGGCTAAATTTTATTCAAAATAAATGACGTAAATCTGTGCAAACTTTTCGTCTGGACTTTCAGCTATGTTATACCAAGACTATGTCAGAATTAATTAACTGCAATTTTGTTGCGTTGTAGTATGGTTGTGTTGCTTACTCTTACTTTTTAACATCCAATTTATTCTATTACCAGAATTATTACACAAACAAACTAAATAAGAAATTCTCAAGTCAAATGAGAGTTGCACTTTGTTGCGTTGTATTCTATCGTATGATGGTTGTGTCGCTCACTCTTATTTCCCAAGTACATCCAATTTCACCTTTATTCTATTGCCAGAATGATCTTATGCACATAAATAGAGAAGTTCTCGATCAAAATGAGAGATTCAACAATCACTGAACTTTCTTTTCAATTTCATTCGTCCAGGTGGCTAGTATGGTGGTAGCGTTGATGGTATCAGCATTCCCAATGACGACCCACGCCATACACATCCTCCATCAGTCGTGGGTGTTCGACGTAATGTTCTCGGTGTTTAAACCACTGTTAGACGTGAAAATGCAGAACAAGATCTTCTTCCACGGCAGCAACATGGACAGCCTGCACAAGCACATCTCCGCGTCTTACTTGCCGAAGAAGTACGGCGGGATCAGGGAGGAGTTGCCTTACTACAAGTGGATCGACAGCCTCAGCGAAGTGCCTCAAATCGTTAAAGAGATGAAGCAGCTTGGTTACATAGTCCCGGAGGAGATACAGAAGCAGTCAGATCAATCGGCCGAGGATTGAATTAGGACGTGCCTTGGGGGCTCCTCTGTCTCCAGTTCAATATTTACTTCTCGATTAATAATAGCCACACACGTATTAGTCTCATGCTAACCTGTATACATGTCCGTATAATCCGGCTAGGATTCTTAACTCTTTCTTAATTCTTAGTTTCTTTATTCACTTCCTTCTTATCGCCCGTTATCTTATAGCGCGTTTCTTCCTCGCTAAACGGAGAAGATGCATTATATTAAGCGCAACTCAAGCGTCGCATGTTTTGTAGCCGATACTCCCGTTTATTACCGTTCGTTCTGTATCTTTCTGCATGGCCCCTGAGCTCCCTGTCGTGATATTGATTAAACGATTTCAGTGAAATCGCCTCTTCTCGTTCTCATCTTTCCCACCGAGTCTTCAACGGATACTAGAGCAAGATTCGCGGATTGATAATAAATTGGATTCGAGGCGAATTAATGGCTCGACAAAAATCGACGTCGTTCAATTTCCTGGGGAAATGAAAGCACTGGCGTCGACGTGGTATTCACAGATCGAATCGAGACCTTCGTTTTCCAGGGTGGATCAAATGAAATAAGCGCTATCAATCTCCTTTACCGAGAGACGCGAGACGAGAGTCGTTCGGTCGTACGAAGCTGAAAAGTCTTTGGGGATATTCGTCGAATGATGTTCGAACTTCAAAGGAAAATTAATTTCAAATTCAACGCGTCAGTCGCGTTACTCGGCTCTTGACTTTTCCTTTTTTTTTTCTTTTTTTTTTTTTTT